TTCCTTTATGCATTTTCCACCCAGCAAGAAAAGTGGTGTATTTTTAAATAGTGCTGAGGCCATCACCTCAGTGCAGTCATGTGAGCAGCTCCAGCAGAGCTGGGGAGGTGCCCAAGYGCCCTGGTCCAGCTGCTGAAATGCTGGGTTGGGATCCCGGGATCCACCACGTCCTTSAACAACCCAAAGATGGAAGAAAAGGGCAATTTCCAGTGTTGATGTCAGCACTCTTGCCTTAAAAAGATCAAAACAGCAATGGCAATCACAGGCACCCAGTTAAGGAAGACAGGTAAAGAATCAAAAGCGTTTCACTGACAATTTGCAGATCAAGGCACCTCCTACTTAAAAATAACTTCTGGGGCCAGTAACTGAACTAAAAATACTTGTGCAAGTTTTGGAAATCAATCCCTACTTTCAGTCAGGCCATGCTGATGCAGGCTAACTGTCCCAGCAGCAGGATTACAGCACTTAAGCACCACTCTTGATGGTAAATATGGATTTTGTCAGGGATTTTCCCCCAAAGAAATATCAGATCAAAGAGAGAACGAGGCCATAAAAGAGTGAGAGAGGTTTTGACCATAATACATCAGTAATTTTATGGGAATGCAAGCAGGAAATCTTGTTGAGAACTCTACCTGACACCAGCAAGCTGAGTCAAGGGTGTGTTAACACAARGAACCTGCTGATTTTGACAAAAAGCTGATGGAGCCCGTGTTTACAAGATGGAAAGGAAAGCACCCACATCATCTATTTGTTAAGGKAGAATGAGTGTGTTGTGCCTGGATGTTTTTGTTTTGTAAGGCAGCTGTAAGGCTAAGCTGCAATGAGATGAGGATCATGGTAATATAATTACTAATACAAGGTTAGCCAAAGGGATTGCGGATGCCAAGAAAAATGAGACGCCTCAGAATGAGTCAACACATTCATTTCCCAACCTCTCTGGCTGTGCAAGGCAGATAAAACCCTGTTTATGAGGGGCTGCTTACAAGGTGGTTCCTAATAGCTCTCCAACAACATTATCTTGTTCTGCCGTATCATGATAAAGCAATAAATGAAGACTCAAGCTGAAGCCCTGCTGAAAACACCACTTTGTCTCAAGAATAAAGGAGATGAACACAAACTGAATTCTTGTTGTTCTGTGTTAAATGAATTCTGGGGCTGGCTGGGAAGAGGCAGGGCCGTGCAGGAGTTTGGCTGCAGCATTCCAGGCCAGGTGTGACATCAGCTCATGTGTGTCACTTCTCATGGCTGGGACAGGAACTCTGTGCTTTCTCAGCAGAGCCATTTCCCGTGGTCCTGGACAAGCTGCACTGCAGCTCTGCCTCTGCCTGGCCTCACCTCCCTCACCTGCACGGACCCTGCTCCATCTCAGCCCTGTTCCATCACTCCAGAGCCCCTGGGTGATCACTGGGCTGGCTCTGGGTCCTGTCCCTGCCCTGGCTCTCTGCCCTTCATCTTGGAACTTCCTCATTCTCACACATTTCCCAACTGGCCACCCTCAGTGGGGCAGCTCTGCTGCTATTTGAGGACTGTGGCAYTGCCCTCCTTGCCCCTGCCTGCCTTGCTCTCACCTGCAGATCCTGCTCTGTCTTCCCCAAAGGTTTCCCACTGCCAGAGAGCAGGGATGGATGGGATATTGGGAAGGAATTGTTCCCTGGGAGGGTGGGGAGGCCCTGGCACAGGGTGCCCAGAGAAGCTGTGTCTGCCCCTGGATCCCTGGMAGTGTCCAAGGCCAGGTTGGACAGAGCTTGGTGTAGCCTGGGATAGTGGAAGATGTCCCTGCCATGGCAGGGGGTGGGATTGGAGGGGTTTTAAGGTTCTTTCCAACCCAAATCATTCTGGGATCCTGTGAACCTTAGAAWAATCTGCTCATGCTGCTCCTGACATAAAACTCAGTTCTGAGCCTGGCCCAAGTCACCCCATTATCTGGATCCCACCTAATGGGAATGTGATTGGAAAACAGCATCAGCACCAAGTTACTTATCCTAATAAGCAAAATGAATAAAGTGACAGATCAAACCATTTCATTTTACATCCTCCACCGAACTGCTTTACATCCTGTGAGCATTCCTTCTGTCTCCCTCGTCAGTGACACCCTGCTCAAACCCTGTGTTGTTCCTCTAAACTGTTAATTCATCCTAACCCTACAGCAAGGATCACACCACCACTGCTGCCTTTTACAGAACTCTAGGTACTTACAATCAGTTCTGAACCAGGTCCAGAGGTTAGAATGTGGTCAAGGAGCCCAATTTCAGAAGAGATTAACCCATGCCAGTCTTKAATTTCACTGAAGGTTTGGGTGATGGAGGTGAGAAGGAAATAAAAAAAACAAAACTAAACAAGCATTAAAAGCAGGTTCTTCCCTGCATTATTTTTTAAACTAAGGTGGGCCAGATTTCCCACCTTAGTATTCAGACACCTAAAAACATGGAATTGGCAGGCAGAATTCTTAGAATGAACCCACTGATTTTCCAGGCAATTGGCATCTGCCTGTCTTGAAAATCCACTATCCCAGCCCCTTCTTTAGCAGCTGAAGTGCCTGGAAGTTAATTCTCAGTGTCCCGAGTTACCTGCACTGTGCTGAAAGTGCTCACCCCAACCCTGACTCTCAGAGTGAAGCTGAGGACAGAGTTTGACTGAACTGGGTTAAGAAAAAGGAGACAGCACATTAAATCTGCTTTTATATTTTCGACAAGAGCTCTAATGTAACCCTAATGCAGCTTTTTTAATTTCCTTTGCCAGTCTTTCCCAGCACCTCAGCTACAGTAATTGTAGAGTTTCTAAACTTTCCCTCTGATTATTATTCAATTCAATTATTTATGTACATTATAAATGGTCAGAAGAATTCTGGAAACTATGACAAGTGTTCCAGATCTGAACATCTATCACTGCCAAAACAAAGGACTTACAAAACAAATTTGAAAGTGTGCTACTCTGTCAAACATTGGGGCTTGTTCTTTGAATATCATGTTTATATATAGATATTAGATATTTTCTCTGAGACATTGCTGCCAAATTACAGGGGTTTTTAGTTTTAAATGTCAAAACAGTCAAGCTTTTCTGTCTCTGTTCAGAAAAAAAAGAAAGAAAAGAAAACCCTGTTCAAATTCAAAGCAAAAATGCTGCTATCAAGGCGGATTTCAAGTAGTCTTATAAAGCACTGTTGTATTTGATGGATGATGTTGATACATTTTTTATTCTTAATTTTAATAATGAATATTTCTGAATAAGGACTAAGAGCAGRGTTGCTAAGAACTAAGAGACAGCATGATTATTATGGGTTGTGCTGATTTGCTTTTACTGTCGGTGCCTTGGGAGGTCAGGCAGGTTTCCCTCAAGGATGGCATTAGTTTGGAATCATGGAATGGTTTGGATGGGAAGGACCATAAAGCTCATCTCATGCCACCCCCTGCCATGGGCAGGGACACCATCCACTATCGCAGGCTGCTCCAAGCCCTGTCCAGCCTGGCCTTGGACACTGCCAGGGATCCAGGGGCAGCCACAGCTTCTCTGGGCACCCTGTGCCAGGGCCTCCCCACCCTCCCAGGGAACAATTCCTTCCCAATATCCCATCCATCCCTGCTCTCTGGCAGCTTAAAACCATTGTCCCTTCTCCTGCCACTTATAACAAGTCCCTGTCCTGCTGACTGACACTGGTAGCAGCTTCCACAGGCAGCAGCAGCCTGGCCTGGTGAGCAATRCCCATGTCCCTGCTGCCACCTCTGGAACACCATCCCATCTCTTAGGGACACATTTACACCTCAGTTCAGCTCCAGCCCAGACCCACCCTGAGCTGTGCTCAAGGCAAAGCACATCACCAAGGCCATCCTCATTTTATTGGCACCAGCACAGCAAAGATGGAAAATGACCAAACACAGGGAAATTCTGCATTGCCTGGGGCATTGTCCAGGAGGAGAGAGCGAGGCCCTCGAAGATTGCAGAGGGGCAAGTGTGTGTCTGCATCTTAATAAGGGCTAACTGGAAATGGGAGGTACCTGCCAGCAGCCAGGGAGGAGCAAATCCAAAGGATCCACGTTTACACCTCCAAAGCAGAGCTCTGGGCTCTGTCCTTGCCAGAGCAGCCAGGCCGAGGGAAAACTCAGCTGAGAGCTTGTTAGTCCTTCACTCCTCCTCACTGATTAATCCAGTGGTAARTAAAATGAGCTTTCAAATCTTCACAAACACAGGAATCAATTTACAAAACAAACCTGAATGGGCCAGCTCCAAATTTAGGGCTGTGAAATCTTTCGACTTTTGTACTGACAGAAGAGCTCTGTTATTGGCATTAGCCCAATAAATCATTGGGGTGGATTCATGGATAAATTCTGGAGTTTCTCATCCCCTTTTACCTTCTCAGCTGGCCTTGTGTACAGCAAAATCCTGGATGGAGTAGGACTGCATATCATAGGATTATGGAATGGGTTGGATTGGGAGTGATCTTAAAGCTCATCTCATTCCAACCCCTTCACCAAGAGCACGGACAGAGATAAAGAGATAAATCTTCTGAGGAGGAACAACAGCCCAGTCCCCCAAGCCATATTTAGATTTTGCAAAAAACAGGATAATTTCATATTCCCTTATTCAGGAGTAAAACCTTTTATTAAACCCACAGTCCTCAGAATCTACCCACAAAAGTGAACTACAAAGATGTTGGGGACAGACAACAAGCCAGAACTTGGCAGAAATAGTAAAAATATTTCACCTTTTTAGAAAAAGTGGTGAAAAATCATGTGGGAGACTCTGGCTCCTGTGAAGCAGATGTCACTGARGCCACTGATTTCAGCTCCTCCATCCCCTGCCAGCTCAGAACTGGAGGGCAGCTGCCTGAGGAATCTTCCCTGCACTGCAAAGTGTGAGAGCAGAGCTGCAGGGCTGCTCCTCTCACCAGGTAACAGTGCTCCGCAACAAACACATTGGAAATAATGCAATGAAAATCACTTTTTGCTCCCAGTTGCCCRTGGCAGGGTCCCCCTGCCAGGCCCAGCCTACCCAGAGCCACTGACCATGTGGAACAGCACCGGGGTGTTCTCTGCCATGGGCTGTGTCCCACACACCGAGCGCTGAGGCTGCTGCTGCTCCAGCTGCTCCTGCAATCTGCATCTCCTCTGCCTCTCTTTCATCTCTTCCTTTTGGGATAACTCTCTTTCACTTCCTTCTCTCCTGAAAAATACACAGATTAAGCTTTTCACTTGGGAGAAAAAGCCTGTTGTTCATCTGGTTGCATTTCTTTTTGTCTCATATTTATACTGCACACTTGAGGGGGATTCATGACATGAAAGGCTAAACTAGATTTAGAAAGGAATTTTGGGGTTTGTGGGGGGACAGCAGAACTTGACAGTGGATGAAATCATCTCTCTAAGAAGAAAAGAACCTCAAAGAAAAGGAGCAGAGATCAAACTTCTGATAAGTGGTGATGATCTATCTGGAGATCAGAACTCCTTTAAGCAGTGATGTTTTGTGATGTGTCACTCCCCATCTTCACACCGAAATTCCCAGGCTAACCCCATTTCCTTTCCTATCTGCTATAGGATAGGAAGAGATAAGCTTTCCCTGGCCCTAAGACCTCCCATCTTTCTACAATTCTACATTTGGATGCCTGCAGAAAGATTTTATCTGCCATTTCCACRGCAAACACTAAGTTCAATTGGTTCTGAATTCTTCCAGCCCCAGGTGCCCCAGCAATGATTAGAACAGCAAGGAAAAAAATTCAGTCAGTTAAAACCATTGAGTTATTGCTTAGAGACAATAAATAACACAGATTCTTGCCTGGCCATGAGCTGCCATCTCTGTGGTAACCAAAATGGAGTTTAGTGCTCCTGATGGAAGCAAGTAGCTTAATGTCAGGAATTCCATAGGGAAAAATCCTTGCAAGCAACCATCTGCCATTTCAGTACACAGGAGCTGAGGTGTCTAAGTGGCAGGGCAGGCAAGTGTTTAACTCTGACATGGTAATAGTCTCCAGAGCAGGCAGATCCTAATTCTTTCCAGGGCTCATATGTCAAAGTCAGAATGTTAAATTTCACTCTGAAAATAGCAGGATATAACCTTTGAGAAGGCAGCATAATGGAGCTCTCCCAAAGAGTTGGGCAGGTGCACAAGGCAACCACCTGATTTCACTTTAAAATTAGACCTTCTGCAGAATACACTACATTAAACTAAGCCCAGAGAGGCAGAGGCCCAAATAACTCTGCAATTTCCTCAATTGATATCGCTCTTATTTCTAGTTTTTAAAGCTTTCCAAGATATTCCTGTGGCATTCCTCATGGGTGTACTGTGTAGCTCCAAGATCTTGCACTTTTCTTGGTGGCAAAGAGTCAAAATTCCTTTGTTTGGAAGAAAAAAGTACAAGGGGAGACTGAGCTATCTTCCAGCTTGTACAAGATGTTTTATACTGAGAAACAGAACAAACCATTTTCCACCCCTTCTGGGAACACAACAAAAATAAGCTTAAATTAGRGAGAGGATAATTTAAATTAGACTTAATGAAAAGCTTTACAACTGTAAGGATAATTAAGCAGCAAAATATACTACCTGGGAGTCGAGGAATCCTCACGACCGAGGATTTCAAGACCAAGCCCTATAAAGATCTGCCAGGAGAGATTAGATTTTACCTCACTCTTTATTGGCACAGGGAGACTGACCCTTCCAGACCTATTTCCTAGGAAGCTGTGCTTAGGAAATCCCAATGCTGTTGTTCCTAAAGGAGATCAATACTGCATTTATGCTCCTCTTCTATAGAATCAAAGCTAAAGAAAAGGGCTCAATTCACAATGTCAAAAGTGCCACAGCTCATCTAATCCCARCCCCCACTGAGGCTGTCTCTGAACCTTCCAGCAGGAGCTGCCATGAGTGTTGTTCTTTCCAGGGAATAAAACCAACACTCTTTTGTCCCAGCTCCCAGCCCAGGTAAGCAATGTTCTTTAATCCCAGACAATTAGAGAAGCCACAGCCAAACCCACTGATGGCTTTTCTTGTGGGATACCTTGGCAATTCTGTTGTAGTTTCAGGACAGTCTGGAGCATTTCCTGCATTTTGAACCTTCTCAGCTTCCATTTTGTTCTCTTTTTCCGTGGCAGCTCCATTGGCTCCACAGCTCAACAAGGGGGAACTTTTCTTCTCTGGTTCCAATCTCATCAGTTTCCCAGGAACCACCTCATTTGTCTCTTGCCTCACTTCACAAGATTGCTTTTGACTTATATTAGAGGAACCTCCRTTTTCCAGCCTTTCTGGATGAGGTTTTTCAGCTGGAACAGACGTTTTATGAAGAAGCTCCAAGGCCTCCTTACGGGCTGCTCGAAGCTGTTGCAGTAAGAGGCTTTTCCCTGAGCAATTCCTCCTGCAAAGGAAATAAAAACCTGATTTAATCAAGATAAAGCATTACAGATAGGAATAAAAACAATCTCTGAGGAACTTCTGAGATGAGTGACAGCTCAAAACAAGGRCTGGGCATCTACAGGAACGATAACTGTGGGTAACAGAAGCACCAGCACTAGGGTGACACAAACCACTACAGAGCCAGAACACAAAAATKATCTTCCTGGCAATTTATTTACCTCTTCTGCACTCAGACACAACACCAACACCTAGCAGARGAGCCCTGAACAAATGTATTTTTGGCATGGAAATCAAAGSCTACAGATTTCTGCCCCCTTTGGAYACAGYGGATGAGGTTCAGATACATAMAGAAGAAARGRTTTTTCTAATAATTGTTAGAATTTATGAGTGTTTGGCTTAATTTTMACAATGAGACAGCTAAGCTGTCAGCACATCATTGTTATAGTGGAATATCCTGTCATGACATAATCTGCATGTACAGAATAATAGTTCCTCTTTAATAATTCCTTCCAGGTAAGAATGGAACTGGATTGACCCCTTGTGAATGAGATCAGAATCCTGCCCTGCTGAGACCAAGAGGATTTCTTATTTACAAACACAACTGAGCAGCCATTTRCCAGGCATTTCATTTGTGCATGTTCTTTAGCAACGTGAAGGTGAATCCAAACCCCAGCTCTGCTCTCCATCATTGCAGATTTACACTGATGGAACTGCTGGATTTGGAGCAGTGCCAGGGAGAGTTCCCTGAGCATCACCTCGTCCCTGCTTTTTACTGGCTTTGGATTAGATGGTCTAAATTACATTGTTTGGGCTCTGTTCCTTGTCAAATCATCTCTTCTCCCAAACCATTGAAAGATGAATTGGCTGGCACAACTAGACACATGTTCTGCTTGTTGTTTGAACTTCCAGGCTGCAGAATTCCACATGGAATCCAGAGCACAAATGCAGGAAGAGGGTTAAACTTCACATCTMTGCTTCACACCAAAGAAATGTCTTATAAGTCAGGGATATGAAACAAACCCTGAGTTTAGCAACAAAAAGTTCACATCTGACCTGTTGAAGAACTTACATTTTAAATTCCATGTATCACACTCTTTTCCCTTTCCCCTCTCTTTAAGGAGAATTGGGAGCATCCCTGTCCATACAATGTAGTCAATCTTCCCTTTAAATCTCTATCCATTCTAGCCTATTTTAYTATTTTTAAAAAATAAAGGTTTGTCTGAGTCACCTCCCTACAATATTTCCAAAGTTTGGTTCTGAGTCATGTCAAACACAGTTCTGGTGTCACTAACTCAGGTCTGGAGAAAGTCACATTTTCCAGCCCCCAGGGCACCTCTGGTTGTGCTTTGAGCTGTCCCAAGCAGCTGGACAGGTGCAAATTTTGCCTCAAGGATCAACAACTATTTTCTAGTTTTGGTAGCTTTACCATGCAACAGGGAAAGAGTGACCTCCTGGGGCCACAGTGCAGCACTTTCATTACAGGGCTTTTTTTTTTTTTYCTTTTCTTTGTAAAGACCAGGAATGGAGATATTTAAGTACACAAACTTTCACTTTGATCACTGTTAAGGCAATTATTTCAGTTCCAGAAATATCACTTGAACCTTGTAAGGAATCTTACATTCTCCTTTCTGCTTCATCCTTAATTGTCACAGTCTCTTCTTCAGAGGAGGAGGAGCTGTCACTTGCACTGCAAAACAATCAGACCACATTAATTAACCCTGTTCCAACTCGGTGTTGGCTCTTGGGCATTTATAGGATGCAAATTTAGAAAATGAGAGGAAAGGGAGAGAGACTTTCAGAGAAGATCTTCAAGTGTTATTGACAGTTCCTCACTCTATTATTCTAGCAAAAAAAATTAAAATATTCAGGCAACTAAACCAAAATGTGTTACCTGGTTATTATCTATCAGCTGTTCATTAACTACAAGGTGTGGAAGGAGTGAACATTTTTGAAGTTACATTTCACAAGTACAAGATTCAGAAAGGCTAAAGTCTCTCACTTTTTGTTACTTATTTCTCAACTCCCACTAAAGCCAGGATTTACCTTTGCTCCTCTTTAGGGAACGTCACTGACTTCTGTGGCTCAGCATCTCTCAAATCTATGTACACAGTCACAGGCTTTGATGGGCACCAGGATCTCATCCTGCCCATCCTCAGAGAACGTGGAGAGGATGACAGCAAGGCACCATCCCTACACATAGAAAACACCACTTCAGCACATCCTCTGCCTTAGCTATTCCACAGGGAGTGGATTAGGATCCAAACCRGGCTGAGAAAGGAGCTTTGTGCTTGGCTACCACATAGATTCCAACTCTGCTTCTGCCTACTATCAAAATTCAAGCATTCAGCTTCCCCCAGRAACACAGATCACAGGCAGGATGAAGAGGGAAATTTAGTTCTCAAAAATGTGACACCACCAAGTTGTTCTGGAGAAAAAAGGCAGGCAGGTAYGGCACCAGAGAGATCTCAACTTTTAAGATCTCAGTGTCAATGAGTAAGAGCAGGTTCCCCCCTTTCCTCTCTGCCTCTTTTGGAAATTCTATTTTATTCTGCCAGGCATACAAAGTGCAAATCATCTTAGTGGCTCTCCCTGCTCTGGCAATGAGTGTACTGCCCACCTTCCCCTCTACTTTTTCACTCATTATTTCCTCTGTGCTGCYACCATTGATGTTGTTCCCTCTGAACAGCCTGAAAATGCTCTTCCTTCACACAWAACCCTCCAAAATGCACTGACATCTCCACTGATACCCACAGAAAACCATCCTGTGTATTTTTRCTATATTGAGGTAGGAGGAAGGGAAATTGGTACCCTACAGGACAAGAAAGGTGAGYAGGATAATTGGCTTAGCCTCATTTTCCCACCTTTCCCATTTACCCCAAGTGTCTGGTAAGGTCAAGACAAAGGTTGCTGGAGAATGCCAAGGTGTTTATCAGTGAATGACTGAGTATTGCAACCCCAATTCCAGCTTCCTGCAAAGCTACAGAGAAAAACCCCCATGGAAGACCAGGAGATCCCAAGTATCTGTATTGGCAGCCAGGATTAGCTGGGATATATGACAGAAAAGGACCTACTTATCATCCTGCTGTCCCTGGAAGGAGCAGAGCTTGGCTGATGGCCCCTCAGAGTCAGAAGACCCTTTCCTGGACTGCCTGACACACAGCTCTCCCAGCTTCTCCAGGAGCTCAGCTTCAGACTTCTTCCTGAAGGTTGCTATGGAAGAGTGACAAAATGATCATCAGTTGTGGTCTCCTGCCATGGAATCACCCAATTTCYCCATTTTCACACTTTTCCTACAGCCTGTCAGAAGGGGAAGGATTAAGATATTACTGTCATCTGGCTTGTCTGGCCAATGGCAGGCCACAAAGCACTGGCTTCATATTAAAAAAAAAGCCTAGATGAAATCTTGAGGGAAGTTAATTAAACATGTTTTAGATGCATTTWAAAAACTCACTGATTTCAGCATTCAAAATGATGCTGCAGGGAATGACTTAAACACAGGAACCTGAGTTTTATTTATTTTTATGCACTTTCAGCTAGTGATATTACCATAATCTGCTGGGAAGAAAGGAACTTCTGCATGAGTTTTATCCCTYTGCTGCTCTAGCTCCTCAAGATTCTTGTCCAGATCCCATTTCTGAAAGAAGACAACAGAAATGTGATGCAAAGTTTACTCCCCAAAGACCACCCCTAATTTCAGTGCCAGCTTGCTTTCAGCAATTCCAGAGGAAGTGCTGTAAGGAAAGGAATGCATTTATTACATCCCTTCAGACAGGGCATCCCTCCAGCTGCTTCAGCTACTTCTGCTGAGGCTTTTTTCTCTCAGAATCATGAACTCTTTTGATATAGGCTACAAAAATCACTGGAGACAGAGGAACAGATTAAAAAGTGGTCTGATACAAGGCCAAGCCTATGTACTCTGATCCTGAATAATGTGAGAACTTCTCACTGCCACCCACAAGAGAAGGACTTCTGGCTCTTCAGTTCTTTGAGATGAGCCTTTTCCACCCCCTCCAACTTCTGAGCAGGGTGAATTCCCACTCCTCTAGGTACAGTCAGTATCACATGATATCTCACAGCTGCTCATCCCACCCTGAAGTGAGGATCATCCATTTCTTTGCTCTGAACCCACATGCCCTGACTGAGGGCACACTCACTTCACTCAGGTACAAAACCAGGCTGCCATGAAAGTCCACATGCATACAAAACACTCATTGCTTCCCCCCTCAACATTATTTGAAATTGAAGTTTTAATGAAAAGTATCTACACCCATGTGAAATATTATCACCAGGAATCACAAGTACTTACAAGTTTTATTAAAAGGAAGGGGGCAGTGAGTTGTGACAATGACACACACAACTGCCACACACATGCATTTCACATAACCACTCRTGGGCTTTAAAAAAGCAGAAGCAGCCTCCAAACCCAGCAGTTTCACCTTGTAAAACCTCCATCATCTGCCCCTCTTGTAGAAGASAAGGTTCTCCCWCCTTCCTGAGCAATAAATCTTCACRYATATCTGAACYTTKATTAGATCTGTTCTAACATCACACATTACAGCACTGGTTTAAGATCCAGAAGGTCCAGAAGAAGTGTAGGTTTGCACAATTCAATTTCTAATACAGAAAGAAACTTAGGAAAAAAGACATTTCAAATGAACCGATAAGAATTAAGAAGAAAGTGTATATTACTTTTAGCAACTTGACMCAAACTGAGGTGCCTGGCTGAGCTGGGAAGCAACAACCACCTTCCAAATGAAAGTGARAACACACTGAGCCTGGTCTCAGAGCTCACCCAAAAGCAGCAAACTTCACCTCACTGAAGTCACTGATATCAAACAGGTTCTGAAAGGCAAATTGTGCCTCCTGAATTAACAGAGAAACTGAATTCTATGAGATGAGCTGGAAATTAAACCCAGAGCCACTTGAAAAAGATGCCCTGTAATGATGCAGCACAATTTAACTCATTATTTGACCAGGAGCTACACGGTTTGCCTGGACTGGAACAGCTCTAACATCAAAAAGTTCATTTCTGTGAATACATGAAAGGGGAAAGGAAATGTCTGTACTGTGACCTGTGGAAGGCTTTGAACAGAAAGATCAGGTCATGTTCTGTGCTGATTAAGTCCTAATGAAGTCAAAAATCAATACAGGCAGATCTATAACTCAGTTCTGAAGAGAACCACCTCCCCACTCTGGGCCACATCCCAGTTAACATCGAGATGCTCATCCTACCTTCCCCAGGTGGGTGAGATTTAAGGCTTCAGGAACAACCCTAAACATCTCCTCACCTCCAGCACTACACTGGAAGGCCAAAAAGCTCCCTGTTTTAATGCAAAGCCTGCCTCAGGCCAGAAAAATTCCTTGCCCGCCCAGGGACAGATGCTATGGCTTCCCTGAACAGTTGCATGGCCCTTGCTGCTGATGCATGCTTTTGCCTCTGCTATGGACTTGTACTGCAGCTCTGGGACAGCTTTTGGTGCTTGTATAGCTCACAGTCCCTGTAGTGTGTCAGAACTGGGCACTGCAGTGCCTTGCTGCAGTGGGATTGTGCAGGCAGAGCACTGTGCCTCCAGCCCTCCAGCAGCATTCCCCAAAGCTGCTCTTTGGGGCCACTTGCCTGCAGTGACAAATGGGTCACTTCTCCAAGATGCTCAGCTGAGGAGGTTTCCTCCTTTGCAATTCTTCCTGCAATTTTGTTGATGCCATGGGAGGGAGGCTTCATCTCCTGCTTTGGGGATGGCTCCAGAATGATTTTGGAGAGTATCTTTGTCTCTATCAGCTTTTTTCTCTCCTTTTTACTGTAGAGCCCTTCCACAGACACTGCTGGATTAATCCAAGAGTTCCCTCCTTCCCTGGCCTGTGTCTTGCCCAGTTCTTTCTCCACAAGATGATCTGTGGAATCTGCAAGAGACTCTTCAAGAACAGCTCCCTTTTGGCTTGGCATTTCTTCAGTCTGGCTGGCAAGTTCAGGAGCCTCATCTTTAATCATTTGTACATCTTCTTTAGCAGTGATTTGGGCACCATCTGTTTTTTCCTGAAAGTCAAAACTTTCCAAGTCTTCATTCCAGATCTCCCATGGAAGTCTTTCTGTCTCCTGGATTTGCTGCAAGTGGAGAAAGCACACACATGCAGAAAGTCACATCTCCCCGAGCTTTACAAGTGGATAATAAACCAAAACCAAGGGATTAGAAGACAACAGCTCCAACTCAGACACCATATGGAAACAACCCACACCATATCCTCATGGAAAACAGTGGGACTGTTTACTTTCCAGAAACTTTCATTTTCAGGAAGTGCTAAACATCCTTTAAATTACTTTTTCTTACATGTGGTTATTATTCCAACCCAAACTATTCTGTGATTCTATGGATTTGTCTTCGTCACTGAAGGAATGAATTATGTGATAATTTTATCCCACAAAAGCTGTTCAAGGAGTAAACTTCATACTTGTCCTCCTTCCTGCACTGTCCTAATTAATTTTCTAGACCCATAAAATGATTGCACAGTGTTAGTGTACAGGAAAGAAAAACAGTAAAGGACAATTAAAAATGCCAGAGGAAGGGACAAAAAATGTCTAAAATCTCAGTAACAGAGAAAACGTTCAAAGATCACTGTAAAAAGAGAAAGAAAGTTCTAATTTCTGGTGGGGACTGGGGACTAAGCTTTTCCATCCCACAGCTGAAATAAATCAGACACCAGCAGCTGCCCACACTGGGGACAGCCAGAAGAGAGGGGTGACAGCACAGCCCACACACAACAGTCCCAACCTGTTCCTGGGAGTCTTCCAGGGAAAACATCATCAGTTCTTCCGACAGGTCCGGAATTAAGTTTGGCAGGTCCCGCTGGAAGATGAAAAGCTCCTCATCACTCTCACAATCAGACTGCAAACAGGAAAAAAAAAAAGAGAGAGAGATATTAAACAGCAGACTGCAATACCCACTGATATTGGAATATCTGATTTGCAGTGACAACTTCCATGTTGTCACCTCTTGGCATGCAGAGACAAGAAGTTTCCTTGCAGTCACACCTTCACCAGGCAGTCTGGAACCTCAAGAGTCACCAAGCCAGGCTGTCTTACAGCCACCCAACATTTCAACAAGCTACAAATGTAAAACATCAAATGCCCATGAAGGTTGATGACAAACAGCCCGAGAAAAGTGATGGAAAGTGTGGGAAGTTCTCTGWCTCTCAAGTGATTCTCTGCAATACCTCCTTCCCCATCAGAGAGGCAAGAGCTGAGCTGATCACTGTTTACAARGGTTTGGAGTGCCAGGAMAAGGGGGAATGGGTTCYCACTGTCAGAGGGCAGGATCAAATGGGATATTGGGGAGAAACTGATTCCTGTGWGGGTGGGSAGGCCCTGGCACAGGGTGCCCAGAGAAGCTGTGGCTGCCCCTGGATCCCTGGCAGTGTCCAAGGCCAGGCTGGACAGAGCTTGGAGCAGCCTGGGATAGTGGAAAGTGTCCCTGCCCATGGAATGATTTTTAAGGTTCCTTCCAACACAAACCATTCTGGGATTCTAAGATTCTCAGGGACTGGAAAGGCAAGGCCTCACCACAGCACCCAAGAGGAACAAGCAGGACAGACGAGGGGGAGWAACCAGGCTGAGTCAAAACTCCAGATCATTGGGCAATGCTGGATTGATCAGGCACGTCAGAGATCCAGCCTGAAAGTGAATTCACAGGTGAAATCTGGCTCAAGCAGGACCATAACTAGAAACCAAAACTCCCCTAACACAGTTCAGAGAGGGAGCGAAGGCCCAGAGCTGAACTTAAATAGAGCTGCTGGGAGACCCAGGTGAGGCCAGGCAGTGTTGTGAAGGCTTTTCACTGCCCTCAGGACCTGTTCAGAATGCAAACAGCATCTKTGTTTGCTTGGGCAGCATTTAGACAGCTCTGAAAATCCCTTTTCTAAACATCAGATATGCATTGGAGATGAATCCTTTATGCATGGACACCAAAAGGAGATTAAGCACCTTCTCAGCAGTCAGGACACAACTTTCCTGCTCATCCCTTTGTTTTGCCAGTGTGAATTTTTGGGAATTCACACTGCAGAAAATCATCTCTGGTGTCATTAACTTAACACGAAGCCAACTGCAACAGAACATCTTTCCTTTTAATAAATGGCCTATCAGGGTAATGGAAGTGCTTCAGGGCATGGAACACATTTGTGAGTGCCATTTTTGGAGGTGGGAGCAGGGCACGTTCAGGTGACAGCTCTTGGATGCACARATGAATCTTCCCTCACGTGGAAACTCCTCGGACAAAGGTGCAGCTCTGGAACTGCAGCCTCAGCAGGACAGGGATTACACAACCAGATCTTTTGAATGCAAATGAAGTGCCAAACAGATTGCCTCAGTTCCTCCTGCAGGAAATCTTTTCCACGTGGGATAGAAACAGAGAATTTGGAGATTGAAAACAAAATGTTCAGCATGATTTAGGGTTATACAATGGTGTTTGGCATCAAAGTCTGAAGCTGCTCCTCTGGTTTAACATGATTGTAACTTACTCAACAAAAAAACCTACAAATAATTTCAGTGTTGGGCCTTAATCTGTACTAAAGACAGACATATTAACATGGAAGGGTTGTTTCAAATAATTAAGAGTGTAGGTAGAGGCAATTGAGAACAGTGAGGGAATATGGTTTGTCCAGCATGATAGGGAGAGATCCAGGTGCAGAACCCAAGTTATGGAATCCCCATCACCACTTTACCCACTTGATCACACTGCTTTGGATCACTGATTAATAATAAACACCCCTGGAGGCATTTCTGGCTCTTTCACTGCTCACCAGACTCCCTTTGTACCATTAACAGCCACACTAAATTGGKATAAAATATAAGCTGTGTGTTCCAAATTTGAAAAAGTTTATACATGTTTAACAGTGTTCTGATTTGGACAAAAAGCATCTAATAATTAAATCTTAAGAGATATTATTGCCTCAGAAAAGTCAACACCAGAGCATCTTGTACTAGAGAGGAGCACGGGATCAATGCTGTCCTGAGAATAGAGATGTTCAGCAGCCAAGAACAGCCTGGCCCAGGCCCAGCAAGTGAAAAACCTGTACCAGTCAAGAATGATGCACAATACCTCTCAGTCTCACACTTTATGTGAAAAGGTTTCTGCAATTATGCTTCTTTGGCAGGTAAAAAGCAGAAAAAAAGCAGCATGGATTGTGGAGAATGATAGGCAGGGGGAAAAAAAAAAAAAAAAAGAAGCAGAATGTGGGATTGAAATCTCTGCCAAAAATGCTTTTTTTCTAGTGGACCACTGAGTCTTCAGGAATATCACTTTGCTGTGATCCTCATGGATAAAAAGCCACCCCACCAGGCCTGCTGTCTGGCAAAGGCATGGCTGGAATGAATAGCACAATACTGTCAAGCATAAAACCTCATAATTTCTTTTTAAATCCACAGGATTCTACTTTCACACCGTATTTCTGACAGAGCAAACTAAGAAGAAATGTGGGTTCATTCTGTGAGATGCCCTGACCCTCCTCTTCCCTAGAAATACTTATTGTCTGTATTTTGGACACCTCTCCAAAAATCCCAGAATCATTTGAGTTGGAAGGAACCTTAAAAATCATCTCATCACACCCCTGCCATGGCAGAGACACCTTCCACTATACCAGGCTGCTCCAAGCCCTGTCCAGCCTGGCCTTGGACACTGCCAGGGATCCAGGGGCAGCCACAGCTTCTCTGGGCACCCTGTGCCAGGGCCTCCCCATCCTCACAGGGAAGAATTTTTTCCCAATATCCCATCCATCCCTGCTCTCTGGCAGTGGGAAGCCATTCCCTGTGTCCTGTCACTCCAGGTCCTTGTCCAAAGTCCCTCTCCATGTTTCTTGTTGGCTCCTTCAGGACCTAGAAGGTCACAATTAGGTCACCCTTAAGCCCCTCTTCTCCAGGCTGAACAATCCCAGCTCTCCCAGCCTGGCTCCCAGCAGAGCTGCTCCATCCCTCTGCCCATCCTGGTGCCTCCTCTGGACTCTCTCCAGCAGTTCCAGGTCCTCCCTGTGCTGGGCCCCAGGGCTGGGGCAGCTCTGCAGGTGGGGTCTCASCTGAACACAGGRACAGAGSGGCAGAATYCMAAGAACACAGACAGAGGAGATGGAAATTACACTCTGACAATCCAGGATAATCCACAAGRCTGGGATTAACACACACAGTTAGCACACAGGCAGCCCAGCCAGGATACCACACCAGCCACCCCAAAATGCCTGGTAAGGTCACCTGTTTTTGCTTTTGAGAGTTTTTTACATGACCCAGAGGGAAGAAAGGCAGATTTGCAGTGCTTACTGTGGAGGAGTCGGAGTCCAGGGATGGGAGGTGATCCTTCACTGCAGCAAGGATGGATCCCCACTGGAATGTCCTGTCCCTTTGCACAGGAGCTGCAGGAGGCTCAGCTGCATGTTCTGCATCCTCACTTTGCCCTTCTGAGGCCATTGGAACAGCTTTCCTTAGAGCAAAGGAAAGATGAGCTTAAGGACACCTCTCCAAGCATGGGATAACATCAGTCCAAAACAAGGACAAAGTGTGTGCAGTGGAATTCCCAGCACTCCCAGCAGATAATGTTAAAATCTGCATTTTTGGAGCTATTCCTTCCCACCTGAGTTCAGAGGGCTGAGAGGTTTTCTGCCCTGTTCACCCCACACCCAATTTAGCCCATCATCTATAATAATTTTTTGGGATTCTTGGCCAGACTGCCATAACTGTCCTCTCCAAGCATGTTCCCATGTTCTGCCTGCATGGAGGGGGCAGGAGCACAGCAAAGGCAGGCTGACATCTCTGTTCTCAGCTGGATCGACTCCTGTTCCCTATCTCCCTCACATTCCTCTCCTCACTACTCAAAGGACAGATAAAATGATCACAAAGTCATAGAATCTCATAATGSTTTGGGTTGGAATGGAGCTTAAAGACCATCTTGTTCCACCCCCCTGCCATGGGCAGGGAGCCTTCCACACAGGTAATGTTTATGTATGATTTCACTGGAATTTATACCAAAAAAATTGGTTAAGAATAGGCACATTCGTGGATTTTGACCTCTGAAAGTGTTTCTAATGTGGACTCTTTCCTCCTGTTCCTTGATGTCCAGGAGCAGTTCAGACAACACAATAGGAACTGTAGCTGAACTAAGAGGTCAGATAATTGTCCACACAGAAAACCTTTACATTTTATGCTACAATCACATGGTTTTCTAGGCAGTCAAACATGAAAGTAAATGATTTCTGGTTCAGAAGTTTCACAGAATACCTACAGCTGGAAGAGACCCACAAGGACCATTGGAGGTGGTGACTCTTGTGTTGATCAGGACTGAAATAACTGTTCAAGGGATAACGCTGGCACTGTTATTTGTATTGGCCAGTAACACTCCTCAAAACATGAAGTTAAACTCAATTTATGCCTTGGGAAGTTTAAAACTTGCAAACTGGCTCTGTAAATACTTTACAGGCYGTATCTATGGCGGTTTTATTGGTGTGAGACAACACCGGAGTCTGATTTAGGTGAAGAGGAGGGAAATCCCCACATCTGGAATACAGTGCCCTGACACTGAGCAGAGCTTGCCAAGGGCAAGAGGAGCCCCGTGGGGATAAAACAAACTGCCTGGTATGGCTCCATCTGCCAGATTCAGAGATAAATATCCCAAGGTTGTGGATGTTACACTGGCTCTGACTCATCAGTCAGCTAATGCAGCCTCTGCTGTGGGAGCAAGTGTTCAAAACACTTGTTAGCAGTAACTCAACAGGCACGTTCTGGAGAGCTTGGGCATGGGGATGTTAGGTCGAAGGCTGGACTGGATGATCTTGCAGGTTTTTTCCAGCCTTAACGACTCCATGGTTCTAATTGAGACTTGAAACCCTGAGCTTCTCCGTGTCACCRGCACTGACGATTGCTGTCACACCCCCCTCACTGGGAAGGAGAAGCGGAGAAGACACCGGCAATGGTGGGAGACAGAGCTTGGCTTCGGGGCTGAGCCACCGTAGCCGCGAGTGACAGCACCGGGACAAGGATCCCCTCGCCTCACAGCCCCTCCATGGCGGCCGCGCCGCGCACGCGCACCGTCCCCATGGCAACGCGGCTCCCGGGCCCCCGRCCCCGCCCCGCTCCGCTCCCCTCACTCACAGCGCCCACCGCCCCGCTCAGCGCCGGGCCGGGCCGCACGGCGGGCACAGCGAACGGGCAGCACCGGGACGAGCGCGGGGCGCGGGGGCAGCGCTGCGGGGCCGCTACAACAGCCAGCCACAACCCCATTGGCTGCCCTTCGCCCCGCCCCCTCGCACGGCCTTCTCCCATTGGCCCGGCGCCGCGGGGGCTCTCGGGTGTTGTAGTCCGCAGCTGGGGAAGGCGGGGTGCTCCCGGYATGCTTTGCGCGGGCGGGACTGGTTCCGGCGGCGGCGCTCACCGGGGCGCAGGTGAGGGGCGGCGGGGCCGGGACGGCGGCACTGGGGATCGCAGCGGTGGCATTCACCTCTGGGGCTGCTCCCGGGCACTCCCCGSCCTCGGKGGRCCCACGGCCGCAGCGCTTCTGCCCCGTGGCTGAAGTGTGCGATGCTGAGGCCGCGTTGCCAGCAGGGCCGCGAGAGGCAGGTGCGGTGATAACGCCCCCGGAGCCGTTTTGCYGTGAGGCGTTCGGTAACAGCCGTGCAGCGGCCGCTTTGGCGGCTCCAACTGTGCCTGCTCCGCCTCAGGTGCGTCGTTGTGTGACCGGAGCGTGCCCGGGCAGAGCCCCCGAGCCTTTCGGGTGCCGTGTCCGGCTGCCTTGGCGAGCACAGCCGCTGCTGTGGGAAATGTGCTCCCTATTTGGGCTGCTCAAGTGCTTTTGTACCTCTTCTCTTGTTTTTCTGAGGTTGTTTGATGTCTTTAACGTGCCTGAGAGTGACAGGCTCGTGGTGGAATCKCTCAGGTTGGAAAGGACCTTTAAGATCATTGAGTCCAGGCATTAAAAGATGAAGAGCTGRGTGTATTTTCAACAGACGTGTGTAGGATTGAACCCGAGTGTTGTGGGTCCAGGAATGTTTTCTCTCACATAYCTCTGGAGCCTGATGTGGTTTCTGCAGCTGTGATTTGTGTCAGCAGATTACAGTGCAAAAATGAGATGTTCTGGCTCTTGTTGGTGTGGCTGAGCTGGTAAAAATTGTACCTAAACGGGGATGTAACAAAGGCTTTTTAGTCCCTCCAATAAATTATTGCTGGATTTAGTGGAAATAGAGCTAAGTCAGGAGCAGAAGGGGACCATGTTTCTGAGGGCAACCACGATATCAGAAGGGTCTAAAGCTGTTGGATGATGTCCAAAGGGCATGRAGAAGCRGCTGAGGAGCAGCTGAGGGCACTGGGTTTGTTCACTGGGAGGAACAGGAGGGCAGAGCTCAGCGGGGTCTGCAGCTCCTCCTGAGGRACAGCTCCARCSTCTGCTCTGGGACAGGGACAGGACCAGGGMATGGCTGGAGCTGGGSCAGGGCAGGGTCAGGYTGGAGATCAGGGAAAGGTTCTTCTGTCCCCAGAGGGTGCTGGCACTGCCCAGGCTCCCCAGGGAATGGTCCCGGCCCCGAGGCTGCCACAGCTCCAGGAGCGTTTGGRCAGCGCTGCCAGGGATGCACAGGGTGGGATTGTTGGGGGGYCTGTGCAGGRSCAGGGTTGGAYYYAYGATCCTTGTGARTCACTTCCAACTCAGAATATTCCRTGACTCTCTGTTGTCAGCTTGATGGCTCAGTTGGAGCCTCCAGCCGCCTCCACATTTGTGCTGCCTTGGGTGTCCCTATTTTGGGACAGAAGGACRCATGTGGATGTCACCTGTGCTTGTGGGAGGGGATGTGAGACAGTGAACTGAGCAGAGCTTGGAGCTGAGCAGTGCCTGGTGAGGGTGATTAATGGKCAGTGTTGGATTTGTTGTGTGTTGGGGGCTGGCTGCTCCTCAAATCACCTCCCATTCATTTTAGTGTGGCTCTGAGGTGGTTTTTTTCACAGCTTTCATTGTAAGTGTTTATGGTTTATTTTTTCTTTGCYTTCTGGTTTGTTCAAACAGCAAACTCTGAATTCTGGGGTTTGCTGTCTGTTCTGAGCCCCAGCACTGTAGAGCTCTGATCCTAATAAATAGCTGAGTGCTGATAGATTAAATTTAATAATAATAATAACAGAGGCCTCGCAAGGTGTCATGGCTTGACCCCAGCCGATTACCAAGTACCAGGCTTCTGCTTTTCCCTGTGCCGAACCAGTGGGATAAGGAGAAGAATCAGTAAAGAAAGTAAAAAAACCTCATGGTTTGAGGTAAAAACAATTTAATTATTGAAGCAGAGTAAAATATAATGATGGTTAATAACAATAATGACCAAAAAAAATCCAAAGAGAACATGTGATACACGACTTGGTTACTCACCACCTAATGACTGATTTAAATCCCACATCCAGGCAGTGATTGACCCCTCCCAACAAACCTCCCCAGTCCATATACTGGTGTTCTGTGGAATGGAATATCCCTCTGGCCAGTTTGAGTCAGCTCTCCCCCACCCCGGCTTCTTGGGCACCTCCCTGCTGGCCAAGCATGGGAAGCTGGAAAGTCCTTGATTTAGGGTAAGTGCTGCATAGCAGCAATCAAAACATCAGTGTTAGGATGAGATGCCAACATTCTTCTCATCCTAAATCCAAAACAGACTGTGCCAGCTGCTGGGAAGCAAATGAACTCTATCCCAGCTGAAACCAGGACAAGCAGAACTGRGGGAGCTCTCTAACCAGTGTGAACTTGGTCACTTTGCCCCAAAGTAGGGGAACAGCCTGTAATRTTCAGATCTTTGTTAAACTTATTCTTAGCAACCCAGTCTCCCTCAGTACTCCTGTGTTTACTTTTACAGGGATTTTTGTGGGCTTTATCTAAAATGTTCCATGCTATAACTTGACCCTGAYAGGTCCTGTTGTGCCTGCCCTGGCCCTGGAAGTGTCCAAGGCCAGGCTGGACAGGGCTTGGAGCAACCTGGGATTGTGGAAGGTGCCCCTGCCCATGGCAGGGGTGGAAKGAGATGSGCTTTGAGGTCCCTTTAAACSCAAACCATTCTGGGATTCCATGATATTATGGRTTATTATGTATTTGAGGTTGCTGTCACATGTCCCCTCCAGGCATCTTGTCTTTGGAYGAGACAACCCCAATTTTGTTTCACCCAGGTATTGCATTTCAGTCCTGAGGGCTCAGATCACTTTTGTTGTTGTCSTGTGGAATGTGAGCAGCTGTCCTCAGGTGCCTGCAGAGCTGACATCCTGCTAAAGTTCAGTCTGAGGGGAAATCTGAGAGCATTTAGAAAATAAAAATAGCAAAGATGTAGGCTGAGCACAGGGAAGGTAGGAGTGAGGATGAATGTTCTGGATGTTCTGTCTTGTCATTTTTGCCTTGTTAACTGTGGATCACSTCACCAAGCATGTGTTGGTAACTTGTGCCTGACTGGGGCTGATTTCTGGCAAAGACCAAAACCTGTGTGGTTTGTAATTAGTGTACCCAATTAACAAGAAGGGCTGCAGAGAATAACGAGCTTCACTTGCACCTGAATGAGCTTCCACAAGTTGCCAAGAACGTTCTCCTTTCACTGCCTTTTGGCCTTCCTGGGGCAGCTTTTAATCTGTTTTAGTGWGAAACTCCTACTTTCCCTCTTATGATCCACTTAAATCTCATTGTGTTTTGATTGTGAGGTGTTCTGGCCTTTCACTTGTGCTCTGTGTATTCTTGTCTGAGGCCTCTAGGTTGCCTAATGTGAGTTGGTGCTTTTACAGATATTCTAAGAAAGGCATAATTTATTACCAGCTGATGAAGTTGAATAGATGGTGCTTTTGTAGTCTTAACAAGCTGAGGATGAAGTAGAGGGAAAAAAGGAAGGTGTGAAGAAAGGATCCAGGTAGGGAGTGAAGAGGTGGGAGTTAAAGGTGTTTTCTTATGTTATAAGAAAAGTGGCAGGTGCTTGCAAGGCCAAGACTCCCAGTTCAGAAAACAGGAGTATGGTTTTGAAATGTTACAGTTGAGGGAATCTGAAGAGCAACTGCTGCTGAAAAGCCTGTTCCTACTCTCTTTCATTCCTCACCAATGCCAAATTTGACATTTGCCTGACTCTAGAATGATTCAATCTGAGGAATTAAACTGGCAAAAAGTTATCATGAAGAAAAAGGACTTTACATTGGCTTAGCTTGTATAGAGAGACCCAGGCACACCCCAGAAGTGCTGTATAGTGGGACTACAGGAAGGGRGAAAGCAATTCCCATGGGATTACCTGGAACAAGCTGCCCAGAGAGGCTRTGGATCTCCTTCCCTGGAGATACTCAAAGCCCACCTGGATACAGCCCTGTGTAATGTGYTCAGAGGACCCTGCTTGAGCACGGAGCTTGATGCCCAGTGGTGCCTTCCAACCTGAGCCATTCTGGGATTCCCTGGTGGGGGCTGGATTCTGTGTCCTGGAGCTGCAGMTGGAGCCCTCAGCTGCTGCGTGCAGCTGTGCTGAGCAGCCCTTCATGGAGTGCCAAAAAARAACACTCTCCCAAGTGGTTCAAATGATTAATGTGCAATTGCTCCCTAAGGCTGGGGCTGGGATAAACCTTTCAGGCAGTCCTGGAGCTGGAGGAGCTGTGTAATTAAGTTGTGTCTGCAGGATAGGGGGTGTGCTGCTGCTCCCAATGTTCCAGCATTTCCAGGATTCACAGAGGTGGGGCTGGGCTTCTGCTGAAGGGCTGACACAATAAATGGTAGAAACAATCTGCTTACAACCTGATGACAGTAGAGTGTACACCCTCTTCACCACACTGCCTGCTTTTGGGAGCAKTGGGCAGTTGTCATTATTAATGACTGTGTCTTAATTTAATCAGGGTCATCCTGTAATGCAAGACAGATGTAGAAGAACAGGAATGTCTGACCCATGAATTCTTAATTCTCTCCCTACATTATAAAACACACAAAACAAGAATTGCCTCCTTTTGTATAACACTAAGCTTGCCTTCAGCTCTTAAATAGATGTTTAGTCTTTTCTTGCCCAGGTTATTCAAAGCTGCCTTAGGCATGTTTGGATTAGGCAGGGAGGAAATAAAGCCACTGCTTCTRGAATCTTAAAATGATATTTGAAAGATGTGCGTTTTAGCATTATTGCCTTTTATTTTTCTAGTGTATTGGAATCCCAGAGTTCCCTGCAGCAAGAGAGAACTTCCAGCAAAATCTTCTCAGCARCTGTTATTGCCTCGGGCTGAGGAGTCAATCAAAGTCGAGGTAGGAATTTCAAGCCCCACACATCTGAGCAGGTCTCACCTTCCCAGCCTGTGACACCTTGGAGTGGTAATTCTGTGGCAAACAGGGGTCAGCAGCTGACTGCTGTGCTCTGCTTTGGCTCCTCAGGGCGGGATGTCAGAGCTGAGTGACGAAGCCAGCGAGTCGGAGCTGCTGAGCCGCAGCCTGTCCATGTGGCACGGGGTCGGGCACTTGATCTGCCATGAGGAGCTGGATGTGCCGCTGGACCTGCACACGGCCTCCTCCGTCGGGCAGTACGAAGTGGTGCAGGAGTGCATCCAGCGGTGAGAGGGGCTGGGGAGGGCACAGCTGTGGTGCCACCTGCTGCAGGGGTGGTTGTCACTGCTGCTGCACTGCTCAGGGCAACGGGGACGCATCGCTGGGACTCCCTAAGGGTTCTGGGCACAAAGTTTCATGGGGCAAATCTGCTGATAAAAATTACCTCCTTAGTRTTTTAGTGGGAGGTGTCTCAGCCCATGGCAGGGGGTGGAATGAGGTGGCCTTTAAGGTCCCTTCCACCCCAGACCATTCTGTGATTTGGTGGCAGTTGTTCTGGAGTTGATTGAAATTCCCATGCAGGCGTCTGTGCTGGTTGGTAACAAGGGTCTGTCAGAGCCAGCTATGAGCCACAGTTCCAGTACAGTAGTTCATGTGATTTCTTTTCTGTTCCTTAGTGGAGATCTGGATTTGAACCAGAGGAACTGTGGGGGCTGGACCCCACTCATGTACGCTTCCTACATCGGCCACGACAACATTGTGCACCTGCTGCTGGAAGCGGGAGTGAATGTCAACATCCCCACCCCTGAAGGGCAGACTCCCCTCATGCTGGCCTCCAGCTGTGGCAATGAGAGTGTTGCCTACTTCCTTCTACAGGTGTGTATCCCACAAAAAGCAGGTAAARCCCCAGCTCGTGGTTTCAATGCTCAGGGTGGGATTATCCACAAGTTGCCACCTTGTGTTCTGTTTTGAGTTCAGTGTCATGCAGAGATTTAAACTCCCGGTGTCCCAGCAGTGGCTGACAGCCTGAGCAGCAGGTGCAGTAAAGAACATTGTCCGTTCTCTTGCAGCAAGGGGCAGAGCTGGAGATGAAGGACATCCATGGCTGGACTGCYTTGTTCCACTGCACCAGTGCCGGGCACCAGCAGATGGTCAAGTTCTTACTGGAGAACGGAGCAAATGCCAACTGCAAGTRAGGAGGAATTTGTTATTTCTTTGTMATTTCATTGTCATTTCTCATTCAGATGTGAAAGCAACAGCTGGCAGATGAGCACACTCTGACAGACACCTGCTTTTATCTTCCCTCTGTACCTTAGGATGTGTGACATAGCTGTTACAAGGACAGGTGACCTGCAGACTGAGTTGAAGTCTGCCCATGCTGTCACTGTTTATTAAACTAAGATTAAGGGAAATTAGATTTACTGCTTGTTTAATTACCAGCTAAACACTGACACCTTCTGAACTCAAGTGTATTTCATGAGTCTTTCTATTGATTATTTTRTATACTCAGAGTTCAGGTCGGTTTTTAAAGTGTGCCCTGCATTCCCATGCCTTGGGGACTGCCACACATTTATGCACATGGAATCGCCTGAGGGCAACAAGAGGTTCTTGCTTTATTAGCTCCTGCAAAACTGATTTGGGCTCTTAAAGGCAGATCTGCAGCTGGAAGAGTAATCTGTTAATGTGCGCCCAGTTGAGCAACACTGAATCTCCCAAGGGAGTTTTACAGCAGGACAGCCAGTACATGGTAGAGTCTGTGATCAGCAAAGGTTGCTGTTGGAGATGCTCTCCTAGGGCATGGCAAAACTGCAGCACAGTTCAGCTGTGATTCTCCCAGTCCATGTGTTTGTTCTCTCTCTAGGGAGCCAGTRTATGGATACACACCTCTGATGGAAGCAGCTGCCTCTGGCCATGAGATAATTGTGCAGTACCTTCTCAATCATGTAAGTGTCCTGACAGTTCTGTGTGTGGCTGAAAGTCTCTGGTTCCAGCCCTCAGAGGAACTGCCACAAGTTTGACACCAGACCTTTTTTACAGTGTTTGTTTTTACCAGACCTTGTTTACRTTTGCTCCTTGATGTCAGTCACATCTGAAGTCCTGGACTTCCAGGACTGTTTCCAAAGTATCCGCTTCCTGCAGGCTGGCTCTTTGATTTTACACTGGTGTTGCAGGGATTGGACTGAGGTCTGACTGGCCAGATTTAACTGAATAATGACTGAATTAAAAAATAACTGAAGCTGTAATTTTTCTATTGTGTTTACACGCTTGCATGCTCAGGCTAGTGGACATCCAAAAGCTTGTGARCATGCAGGGCTCTTACACAATTTGATTTTAATCCCCTTTAACTTGTCCATCTTCTTGCCAGAAGGAGGCAGCAGTACAAAACACTTCTCAGATCAAACAAACCAGTTCCTAATGGCAATGCACAAGAGCCATATGCGCGTGCTTTTTGGCATTCAGGGATTGGAGAGACTGTAGATGATTACAAAGGCATCCAGGGTATTAGTGGAGCTGGAATTGTCTGTCATAGGTGAGCTTCTGTTGCTGATGGAGGAGTTAAGACAATCCTTGGAGGTTTTTTATATACGTATTTATTTTTTATAGTGCTCTTTGCCATGTGCAGTTAAGCAGGTGTTTCTTCTGCAGGGAGTGAAGGCAGATGTCAGAGATAACACTGGAGCYACAGCAAGGACTCTGGCCATGAAGTGTGGCCACACCAAGATTGTGGGGCTGATAGATTTGCATGCAGCYCCAGTGCCCAAGGTCTTCTGCAGAGGTCCAGGTAACAGATGTTTGAGTTGTGTTTTTAACGTGGAACCTTGAAGTGAGATGTTTGAAAGTGTGTCACACTGTGTGTATGGGGTAGTGCTAGCTKCTCTATCCCAGAAATTCCAGCCTTTTGAGGGTGGAAGAGGCATGGATCCAACAGCTCTTGTCTGCTGGCCCTTTTCTGATCTAGTTTAGCTCTTTTACCCTCGCTCTTTAACATTTTCTTTTTCCTTTCCACTACATTTATAGGACCAGTAGCAAGTAAAGCAGGCAAATTACTTCCTGTGCTGCTAACAACCTGTGTTTGAACTACAGGGAAATATGAAGAGCTGAGTTCCTCAGATGAATCATGTTCTGCTCCCCAGAGACAGAGACCTGCTCGTAGGACCAAAGGTCCCAGCATCCAYGAGGGGCCCCAGGCCTTGGCCAAGATCACAGCGGTTGGAATTGGGGGAAAGAAGCAGTCTCGCTATGGTGAGAGGAGTTTGGAGCCTGAGAGACAGTCCCCTCATTCAGGGCCTCAAATGCACTGCAGCTATTTCTGCTGCCCATTTTTTCTCTTTCTTTGGCATTCATGTGTTGTTTGTAGAGAAAAAAGATACTGAACACTGTCATGCAAGGTTTAGAAAGAAACCCCCTTGAGCTCTTTTGTCTAGGCTGGGTATTGATGAGTGGGACACTTTTCTGCTCTCACCTCAATTACTGTTCCTCTGACTCGAGAACGGTTTGGTTTCCCTTTTTGAGGCAGTCTTAAAAGTGTGAGAGCCCTYCTCAAGCTGATGACAGAGGAGGTGGTCACAATAGCCAAGGAATCATTGATCATGAAAGTGAACTTGTGAGTTTGGTTTCCCTGATGTTTGAAATGCTGCTAAAAACTGTGATTACAAACCCTTTGCAATAGACCCGAAGAAAGATGATCACATTTTCTGTGGGATCTTATGAGGGAACTGCAGGAATCTGCATTCCTCAGGTTTTCACTGTGTTTTTCAGGATGAAACCTTCCAGTTGAGAGGTTTCTAATAACTCATTTTGATTATTTTCAAATCCTTGAGAGGTTACATTTTCTGCAGGATCGTCCCTGATAACTTCCATCCTAATSTCTGTTCTCCCCTCCTGTTGCACACAGAGCAGGTCCCCCCTCAKGGCTACGTTACCTTCAGTGCTGATGGCAGCTGTGAGTCAGGGGACATCCGGTACAGGGATGTCACCTCCCCCATTAACGAGCAGGACGTGGAGAGCACCAGCAGCAGGGGTAAGTCACTGGCTCAGGGAATGGTCAAGCCTGCAGTGCACACCTGGCTGGGAGTCCAGGACTTGCTTTTCTCTCCACCTGAGATGCTGAGATTGGAGTATCTCCCCTGAAGGAAAGCTGGGATGATCTGGATACAGAAGATCAAGCTTAGTGATTTAATCAATTTGTACACATAGTCTGAAGGAGGGTGGGAAGAATATGGAGCAAGGCTGGCTCCAGTGGTGTCTGGTACAAATAGACTTGGGGAAAGATAAGTGCTGGGGATCAGATGTGGTGTCTCTGCCTCAGGGCTCTTTTGTATCCTGAGTGCTGCAGGTGAAGTCTTGCTCTGGGTTTCCCTTTCCTTTACACCTCTAGGAGGTTTTGCTGGCAGTTGTGTAGCAAAATCAGCGTGTAACAAAGTTGAACTTAAATTATATATTTTTCTTCTCCAGAGGATAGTGTTTCCTCCARCAACTTGGCAACCATCAGRAGCAGCAGCAGCAGCAGTGAATGCCTGATCAGAGTCCCAGGASTCAGCAGTGAAGGCTCCTTGGAAAGCAATGAGGTGTGGGGTCTTCTGTTTTTCTTGTTCTGCCTTCAGCTTGGGCAGTSCTGTCGCCCTTGGGTGACTCTGCTCCCATGGGAGGGTGTAGGACCAAAGTGACAAAAGGCACAATACAGGGACACGAAAACCAAAGAAGGGGAAGAGGCTGGAGGTTACTCACAGCTCATGTCGTTCAAGGCAGCTCTAGGGCTGAAGTACAGAAGAGCTTTTAGGTCTTGGGGGAGTCTGACCTTGTTAGCCCCAGTGATCCTGACATCTGTCTGATCATCTTTCCATTTTGTGGGTGTTTTTTTTCTTTTCCAGGACTCTGACCATGCCAACAGCCCCCCGAGTCGGAAACAAGCCAAGAGCTTTAAGGGCAAGACCCGCTACAGCAACAGTGACAGCCAGTGGAGCCACTGCTTGGGAAAGGCTGGGTGCTCCAGCCAGCACCTGGTCCTTCCTGAGCCTCCAGCCTACACAGGGCCCCAGGTAACCACACACACTTGTCCTGAAGGCTCTGTCATGTGCCAGGCATGGGAGACTTTTCCAAGGTCACCAAAGCACCTTGGATTCCAAACCTCTGCCCAAACTTAAATGCTTGTAAAATGGCAATTTATTGTACAGGAGCTGTTTGCTGAGGTGTTGGAGGGGTTCCCTTGAGACTTGTGGGTGTGCTCCAAAACTGGCAGTGGGTAGGAAGTCTCTGCACTTGTTAGGAGATGCCAGGCCTGGTGACTGTGGAGAAGGGCAGGAAGCCACGGGAAGTTGTGGCTGCTGGAACCCAAGAAGGTGTTACAGCAGCCTGAGGAAGCAGATATTTATGATTAAAAGGAATGATGAAGCTCTTTTTGTGAGGGTATCGAAAAATTTGTTTGGGATGGGCTGCAGGACCTGGCAACGTTCCTGGAGGAGATTGGGTGCCTGAAGTACCTGCAGGTGTTTGAGGAGCAGGATGTGGACCTCCGCATCTTCCTGACCCTCACGGAGAGTGACCTGAAGGAAATCGGCATCACGTGAGTGTGTGCCCTGTCCTTGCCAGMTTTCCCTTACAAACCATGTCCAGCKGGTCAGGAAGGTTTAGCTGGGGAGTGCTGCTCTCTTCTGGCTGCTTCCCACACAGCCTTGTTTGTAGTCCTTGKCTGTACCACGCTGCTGCTGCTGGCATGCCTTGGAGAGACCAGGAGGCTGCAGAGTTGCTCATGCCATCCCACTGGGCTTAGGGACAGGCGGGGCAGGGCTTGACCCGTTTTGGTTSCATCCCCCAGGCTGTTTGGCCCCAAGAGGAAGATGACCTCTGCCATTGCACGCTGGCACAGCAGTGCACGCCCGCCCAGTGATGCCCTGGAGTTGGCCTACGCTGATCGGCTGGAGGCGGAGATGCAGGAATTGGCCATCCAGCTGCACAAGGTGAGGCTGCTGGGAGCTCCTCAGGGCCCTACACYCTGCAGGAAGTGATCAGGGCTGTATTTTTGTTGGGCCTGATGTTTTTCCCTTCACCCAAGGCCATAACTAGTAGTGGACGCACTTAGTGTCAAGTACACCACAAATACAGATTGTCCACTCCTCATCTTTTGTGCTCCTTTGTGTCTGTTTCCCATGCAACCATAAGAGAACCAKAGGAGCCAGGGGCAGGAGTTAAATCCCTACTCTTGCCCAGCAGTGGCACTTTCATGGTGAAGTTGTGCAGCCATCAACGAACAGACTTGTGTTGGTTCRGGAAATTTGGATTAATGGCTATCTTTGTAAATGCAGACAAAGGGGGAATTGTGACTGTGGGGCTGGGCTTGGTGTGAAGGGAACCAGTGTACAAATCTTACCCAGCTTCCTTTCGCACTGGAAAGGAACATTCTGGCTGCCTAAGGCATTAAAATTATGTGGATTCCAGGGAGATGTCAGAGCATCACTTGTGAGATGTTCAGTATTCCCAGCTTCACCCCCCGTGTGCTCTGCTGCAGAGGTGTGAAGAGGTGGAGGTGATGAAGGGCCAGGTGTGCCAGGAGCAGAAGCTGCGTGCAGTGGCTGAGAGCTGTTTGATGGAGCGGGATGAGACCTGGAATGCCATCCAGTGCCAGCTCAGAGAGGCTCAGGCCATCACCAAGGATGCAGGAGTCCTGCTGGATCAGATCAAGTGAGTCATTCCCAGAAGATGGCACTGAGGCTGCTCAGAGAGGGGACTGGGGGTCGTATTGGCAGTTTTACAGGTGATGCTCAGGGTGAGGCAGGAGAGCCCACCTGGCTTCTGAGCACATTTTGGGTCCTGCCTGACTTTCCCTAGTGGAAGGCCACACCCACAGGAGCACAGGTGGAGCTTTGGTGAGATGCRCAAGCTGAGTTTTTGGGGGTTCTGGGTGTTCCCATGTCAGTTAGAAATGGCCAAAAGGCTGAGGTTTGGTGCTTACCCAGTGCCCAGGGTGTAACCTGGTGATCAGGTGAATACAAAAAGGAGTTTTTCACTTCCATACCCTGTCAAAGGACGTGCAGTATCTTGCAGGTGAAGAGTACTTTTTTTGCAACTCTGATACCTGTCAGAAAAAACCTGCTCTGCCCCATCTCCTTACACTCTTTTGATTGCCCTTGGGGTGTTTTTCTCTCTGCCCCAGCTGGATTCCTGTCACAGCCCCTGTGCACTGATAGAACAGCGTCATCCCTGAAAGTGGCATAAATCCTGCTACTTATGGATCCTGGCCCAAAGGGAGTGGGGTCTGCTGGTTGCCAAGCCAGGGTGAATTGAAGCTGGATCCACAAGGACAGCAGGGCAGTATTTCTACTGCGAGGGGTGGAGCTTGGCTTTTCCCCCTGACTGAGGAGCTGAGGTTTGTGTAGAAGGGCCCTGCCATGCTCTGAGCATTCTTTGCTTGAATTGATAACATGGTGATGAGAGCCAGAGAACTTGGGGGCCCTTCATGCCTGTCCTGAGATTATTTCCTTTGCCCACTAGAAAACGTGGATCAGGTTTGATTCTCACACAGACCATGCACAGCCCCTGGCTTGGGCTTCTTGCTGCTCACTCGGCCCCTCCTTGTCTTGTCCCCCCGCAGCTCCTCTGTSAACAGGGCACAGCTGGTGTAGCTGGAGATGGGGAGCAGTGGCTGGGAGCTGAGCAGTGCCAGCACCCCGACCTTGGGCGGGGGCACCTCTTCCTCTTCCCGGGAAGCAGCAAGGAGCAGGTTGTACCCCAGGGCCTTAGAGGCGCTGCCTGGGCACCCCCACAGGTACTGCAGGCTGTAGGAGTGTGCAGTGTCGCTGCCAGGGTGGCCCTGTGCCCTGCTGACAGCTGTGCTGTGCTTGGCAGGAGCTGCCAGGCGGAGCTGTCGGCCCGGATGGCCCCGGAGCAGGCGAGCGATGGAACACCGGACACGCAGGAGCAGCACGGCACCAGGGAGAGCCAGCGGCCTTGGGAGCGCCCAGGTGAGCAGCAGCTCCAGCTGCACAGGGGGACAAGAGAGCCTTGCTTGTCTTTATTTGCTAAAAGGATGAAGTCTGCCAGTTGGGAATGGATGGGCAGCCAAACTCAAATACTAAATGTAAAAATTCTTGCTTGGGGAAGCATTTAAATCTCTAGGTGCATTCAGAGTTTTACTTGCAGGGGTCCTCAGCAAGTGGGAAGTTATGGGGTCTGGCAGGTGTTTATGGCTAAGAATACCGGGCTGGAGCACAGGCCCCAGTGACAGTCCTGCTGCAGGGGCCTGTGGCTGCACCTTGGGTGTCACCACCCTGTGCACTGGAGCAGGGTCTGAAGCACAAGAGATGGTTGGTTCCCTAACCCAGTTGGGAGGACTGTGCATTTGGATCCCTGGGACAAACCCATGTGTATGGCTGGGCAGGCCTGATCAGCAGCTCCTTATCCCTGGGAGTTGGTAAATGATCCCTGGAAGTGTCCAAGGCCAGGTTGGAGGGAACTTCCTGAGGAGGAACAACCTGAGGTAGTGGAAGGTGTCCCTGTCCATGGCARGGGGTGGAACTGGATGGGCTTTAAGGTCYCTTCCAACCCACACCATTCCATGGTTCTGAGGTTCTCTGATCTTGCTGCMTGTGACATGGTCTTTGCTGCCTGTGTCTTAGAAGTGAGGCAGGTAGAGTTCCTATTGATTTCTGTCCTCTACACTTAATCCCTTTGAGATTCTCTTAAATAACCCAGCCAATATAAAAACAAATTCCTAAGTGGTAGAATTGCCAGAAAATTGCTGTTTGGCATGGGCAGTTGCAGCCTTTTTGCAGTGTGATTCCTACCTGGAACCACTTGGGCTGGACCTGCTTCCCAGCACCGTGTAGTCCTTGAGTGCTCTGTCCCAGGGAGCATGCAGATGGATTGACTGTGTCCCTGTCCTTGCAGTGCTGGAAGGGTGGCCACCTTCCCTGAAGTGCCTGAGCTTGCCTGAGCTGTCAGCTGTGCTGGAGGAGTGTGTAGGAGAGATGGGTAAGGTGGGAAGGACTCTGCCTGTGTGGAGGGGCTCTTGTGCTGGGGGAGACATGGGTGGGTGGAGGTTTGGTGGTCTGRAGAGGTGGTTGGGATRGACCCAACAATCCCTGCTCGTTCARGGAAGTCTYCAGGCTTTCAAGTGGGTGCTGGCAATTTATTCTGGCTGCAGATCTTGGGCTCTGCATCATCCCCTGGTGAGAGGTCCGGGCTGAGAGATGGCRGGTGGTGGCCCCTGCATCTCCTGCTCAGGGATGAGAGCTGCTGGGGAAATGGTTCCCAAAACCTGTGTCTTGCTCTCCTGGTGACAGGAACTCATCCAAGCAGCAGGCAGAGAGTAGAGACACCCTGTTTACAGAGCAAGCAAGCAGGACAGCAGTGACTAAGTGCAGCCTGTTCTTTCCTGCTTCCTGGCCCATTCCTAATGCTGATTTTTCCTTTTGCTTTGTCCTCAGGAAAAGCTCTGCAGACTGTGACTCAAAACCTCCAAAGGCTCCAAGCCCTGGGGCAGAGTGGGCAGAGCTGGCCAGAGCCTTAACCAAGCCAGGACGGTGAGTGGGAACAACTGCCCTGACCAGAGACAGGCTGTGGCACTGA